TGATGATGAGGATGATGAGGATGATGAGGATGATGAGGATGATGAGGATGAAGATGGTGATGGCGATGGCGATGGCGATGGCGATGGCGATGGCGATGGCGATGGCGATGGCGATGGCGATGGTGATGGTGATGGTGATGGTGAGGATGATGATGATGACGGCAATGCTGCTGCTCATGATGATGATTGTCATCGTGATAATGATTATAATCATGGTGATGAGGATCATGATGACGATCATGAATATGATGAACTGCCGAAATGGTAAGCCCCGGGGTGGCTTAATTGAGGGGCTCTCCAAGACGAGGCTTGTGGGGCTTCCGGGGGCTAGCTGCAGCCGGCTTGCCACTATCCTCCGCCACTGATTCCCGGCGCAGCTGCTGCTGCTTTAGGTACTCCTGCCATGTCAATGTGGCTCATGGTTCGTTCTCCCAGGTTTCAGAATGCCCGCGCCCTGTGCTCGCACCCTTGTGGTCCTCTCCATGCCGCACCGGCCACCGCAAAGCCAAGCACAAGCTCTTGTTCTCACTCAGACCCCTGTGTTGAGGAGACTTGTCCATCTTTGTTCAGCAAAACCCAAGCGGCCAGAATTGTCATCATCTAAACAGCCGTCTCTTCCGGACTACATGGTGGGACAGCGCTGGGCCAGAACCTGACTTGGCAAACATAACAATAGTAGCAGTAGTAAAAGCAGAAGTCATAATAATGATACTGAGAGTTGCGTTAAATACTAAGAATGATGCTAGCAGTGTTAAGCATGATAAGAACAGGATATAGAACTGCAATGCTGCAAAAAGTACCAGTACGCCGAATAATACAAGCTACTACGACTTGGACAAGTAACAGAATACTAAGGCTACTCATACGATAACAACCCCTAAAAGAACAGTACTAGGAAGAATGAGGTCCCAGTGAAGGACCCCAAAAGGATCAGAGACGCCGAAGGCCTCTTGGAGCTGCGCGACGCTGCTAGGGTTCAGGTTGAGACGTCCTTGTCGCCTTCAGCGTCGCCGGGGTTGAGGGTTTGAGGTTGTAGGTTCAGCTCCAAAGTTAAGTACTATCGGGGCCTCAATGACGAGAATAGGGTTTTGGGTTCCTTTACAAATATAGTTATAATGAGGAACCCCAAAATAATATAGGTAATTCTTGAGGCCCCCATATTATGCACTTGGTCTTTCGGGTAGAAGTTTGAGATCTGGGAAATTCTGAGGGAAGGGTCCGTTCCTAGGGTTTCAGAAAGTTCGGGCGGAACTGGGATGGGGTTCTCGCATCCAGAGGCTTCTCCATCCTCGGCCCTAGGGTTTGGGGTTTAGGGTTTAGGGTTTAGGGTTTAGGGTTTAGGGTTTAGGGTTTAGGGTTTAGGGTTTAGGGTTTAGGGTTTAGGGTTTAGGGTTTTGGGTTCCCTTTTCCGGATCCCTTTGGGCATAAGGCAGTCGAGTTCTCTGGGCTCTCTTCAAGACTTCAAGATCACACTATGCTTTTTAGAGGGGGGAATATAGATCAGGTTCGGCAGGGCGACCAGCAACAGTCTCTGAAAAGTGAACGGATAAGGTGTCACAACTTTAAGCCCGAAGCGTCCTGCAAGAACGGATCCCCTAATGCTGGAACTGTAGCATAGAGGCCGTTACTCCCCCAACAAAAATCCTAGGGCCTAAACCCTGCGCCTCGCTCTACAAACAACTTCTTATCACGGAAGTTTCAGAATTCATGGGCGCTACCATAGATTCTCAACCAATTCCTTCATGGATGGACCCCACCGTCTGCACATACATCTTTAGACCACTTCCCTAAAAGCTACACCCTAAGCCCCTAAACCCTTAAAGGAACCCTAAACCCCTAAACCCTAAGCCCTAAACCCCTAAACCCTAAGCCCTAAGCCCCTAAACCCTAAGCCCTAAGCCCCGAAAACGCAAAGCCCTAAGCCCCTAAACGCTACACCCTTCTTTTCAATATCCGGAGGCCTCTTGGCTGCACAGAGCGCCTCGAAAGCATTGCCGGAGCCCATGACTCTCAAGAGTGTTGTTGTGGGGGTTTCCGAAAATAGGGGACCCTAATATAGTACCCTAAATAGTAGAATCCTTTTTATAAGGACCCCCAAATAAGGTACCCTAATGTTCGGAAACTCCCTTGTCTTTCGGTTCTTTTAAGGTTCCTTTAAGGGTGCCTTGCCGGGCTACTTTGAAGGTTCCTTTCAGGGCTCTATAAAATGCGGGGTTTTGGTTTAGGGCTGGGTTCGGGACTTAGGGTTGAAATTTTCGGGTTTAGGGGTATAGGAATTTGAAGGTAGGTTGCCTGTGAGGGTTTAGGGTTTAGGGTTCTCAGCCTTATTGGAGACAGGCTGGGGAGAGCCCCCACCGTGAATTCGATTCAGGGGCTGTCATGCTCCAACATCCTGTCTATACTATCGAAGAAGGGGTGAGTGTACTAGGAGAACAGCGCACCTGGCTGTTGATGAGCCTGACTGTGCTAGACTAATCGGCCTGTCTGGACTAAATGACGTAGTCGGAAGCTCTTGGGATTCAAGGCCAGTTCAAGATACTTGGGGGTGTCCGAAAATAGGGGACCCTAATATAGTACCCTAAATAGTAGGATCCTTATTATAAGGACCCTAAGATAAGGTACCCCTATTTTCGGAAGCTCCCACTTGTCCTCTGTAACCCGCAGCCAGAAGAGCAGCCAACATCCAAGAATGAGACAAACCACATCAACATGAACAACCCCCAATCAAGAAGCTGTTTCTTTACAAGTGTGGTGTCCGAGCTGTCGACATTGCACGCGAAGCCCCACATGCTCGACGACATTGCAGCCCATGTTCCCCTACACGACACATGGCAGTATCAAGAGGAAGACACGTCGTCATCATCAGCAACATCATCTCAACCCCGAAACCTTACCCCTGAACGCCAGAAAGACCTAAAAGGAAACCCAACACCCTAAACTCCCAAAACTCCACCAGCCTAAATGCGAAAAGTTTAACCCTAAGCCCAAAACCCTTGAACCCGAAACCCTCATCGCCACCTTAGGTCGTCATCTCGGGGAGACTTCGCCTGGAAGCGCAGCACCCGTGGCGTCGGTGTAGGAGCCGGCTTCCAGCTCGGAGACTGCGGCAGCTTGGGCGGAAGGATGTGCAGCTTTAGGGTTTAGGGTTCGGGGTTCAGGGTTTAGGGGCTTGGGGTTTAGGGCTTGGGG